AGGAATCCTATGGGGTAGGTTAGAGTGAGAGGGAGGAACTGGCCCAAGTCATCCAGTGAGTTTCTATGGCTGAGAATGGACCTGAACTTCATTCTCCACAATTTTAGTCCAGTACATTAACCACTACACCATAGTAGCTCCCAGTTTAAGACATCAGTTTTTAAAAACGTGTTATTTGATCATTCCTTTATACTCTATATTTTATAGTTATTTTTTACTTGTACTTTTTTTTTAATGTATTTATTCTTTTTAAGTGTTGTATGCCTCCCAGAGTCACTTTTATGTGAGATGGGCAGCTATATAAATATGATAAATAAATAAAATACTACATAGGTTTCAGAAAGCTTGCAAACTTAAGAAATGAACTTTTGTATAGTTAATTTCAACCAAGGTAATCCCTACCTAGTTAAATGTGCCCTTAGATAAATGATGTAACACGGTTTCAGTTCCACATGAGTAAGTAGACATGTTAAGGATAAGAAGAGTAGTGTATTCACAATTTGGAATAAAAAAGAGTTTGAACATGCATTCTCTGCCATAAATGCACCTTGTCATTGTCAGAATATATTTCTGGTGAGGTAGCAAAAACAAAGAAGAATTGGGGGATTTCAAGGAGAAAGAGGGCAAATCAGGAGAAGGGGCAAGAAAGGGCACTTAACAATGAGCTCCCCTTCCTCCAGTTCTAGTATCCTTATGGTCACTGGAAGCCCCACTCTGCCATTGTTGGAACCAGTTTCTCAAGAGGAGTGTTTGAACCCCAGTACCTTTGCTCTTGCCATTTCCTTTCCAGTCAAAGAGATGCTATCCCTGTCATTTCTGTCTCAAGGCCCATCTAAGTGTCATGCTCCTTAGATGGATACTGCCAAGAACAAATCAGCTTCTTTTTATGAAGGACTTAATGGCTGCTTTCCACATTACTCCAGACAGACTAAGCTGAAATAGAATTAGGTTACAGTTCACTTTGTTTACTTATTTATTTAATCTTATTTGTATAGCTTCCCATCTTACAAAACATGACTCTGGGTGGCGTACAATAAAAACAAACCATAAAATAATGTGGGAAACCAACCATTGTCTTAGCATGTTGTGTGACACCGGCCATTCATTAACCCATAATATAGCTTATTTGTTTGGCATTCATATTATGTAAACCCAGGAACTTTTTTTGTTGTTGTTAACCTGGGTTTGGGTTTAGTGCGTTGTCTGGCTGTTCTTAGTATGAGCGTCTTTTGTTTTGAACCCTTGGTTGTTCAGCATGCATACATTTGAACCAGTTCTAATATATTTTGCTATTGTTAATTTGGACAATGAAACCAGAGGAAGGGAGGATCTGTTGCTCCTGGCCATTTGGTGTGTGGAAGCAAAGGAATATTTTCACTTTCTTGTGAGATGCCTATTCATTTCAGTTGGAATAAAATACAGAAAGAGAGGGAGAGAGGGGTGAAAGAAAGTGTAACATTTGATCCAAAAAGTGAAAACAGTGTTTAATTAAAGCTCCAGAACTATACATGTGGGAAATTGTTTCAAGGGAAGGTGCTCTCAGGTATATTTTGAGAAGCATTTTTGCAAATAACTCTCCCAGGATAGAGGGCAAAGTTTGCATGCAAGTTGTTTCCTGAAGAGGTAGAGCTATGCATAAGCACTATATATTATTCATTTATTTTTTCTTTGTATGTTGTTTGTTTGATTTATTATAGTCACCCACTCCAAAGACTATATCTACTGCATTATTTTTTTTTTTCCACTTCTTACATAGCTGCAAATACACTCTAGTCTGTTTGGTTGGGAGGAAAATGGAGTTCCCACCTTAATGGCAGGCAATAAATGCCTTTACAGATGTTTTGTGAAGACTTGTTCCAATCAAAATTGAATTCTGGTGATTCCATGTAATTTTTTTGACATGTTACAAAGTAGCTTGTCATTGCCTTTTTCCAGTTTTTTTTTTCTTTAACTTCCCATTCCAGCATTCACCTGTGGGCTTTCTTGGTGATCTTCCATCCTATTAATCAGGCCCAACCCTGCTTGGTTTGGGTTTCCCCCCGCCCCCCGTCAGCCAAAGCTGGGTAGGTGCTGACAATATATTTTTAGAATGAATTGTTTAAAGATGAAAATAAGAACTTTCCTATAGGCAAATTCAGTCATTCCCCACTGTATATAGGTTTTAATTCTTCAATTATTCTCCATTCATTCTTTCCAAATGCTGTTGTCTTACAGATTATATATGTTTCTCTCAGTCAAGGGTTAATTTTCTTTCTCCAGATGTTAGCTGCAAAAGCTCTGAAGACCTCCACCTTGATGTGATTCCTAACAGATTAGGGATATTAGATAATTTCCTTCTGTTTATTGTACTAGTGCACTATGTTATCTTTCTATCACTCAGATAATTACTAAGGAAATCTACATTAACTTTTTTTGGCTAGCTTAAGGAATTGCTAAACATTGGCTTGATGCACTGATATTTTATACAACCAAAGTTTCCTCCTGTCATTGCTCAATAAATAAAAAGATCCTTATCAAAGCAGCAAAAGCCTTTTCATGGGTGCTTAAAGAACAAAAGTAAATAAAATACAAGATGAGTAAAACCTAAGGGCTTCCTTAAATGAAACAAAATTAAGGACTCTGAAGCCTCAAGTACTGTACATATTAAGTGCATTCAAATAAGATGTTGTTTGCTAAATTATGAATGTGTATAATTAAAATCTAGTGGCTGTTTCTATGAAAGATTTACAGTGTTATTTCATCGTTTGTCATGGCTAATTAACAATATTAGATGAAGTTTTTCTTCTTCAAAGGTCTGGGATTTTTTCTCATTCATTTATGTCAGAAGTGATAAACAGAGTAGTTAAAACCTTCTCTGGGGGCAGCAGTGAGAAAAGCAACATGGTCTTTTACACCTCAAAGGTTCAAGGTTCAGATCCTGGCAACTATAACATCATAGCCTTTTTCCCCGAGATAATTTTTCCCCAAACTGCTGAAGTGTTGTTTTTTTTTAAGTGGAAATGATAGATTGCATGACAGAAGCAGCCCCTATGGAAAATACAATAAATTAACCAATCGGTGCCTTAATCGCTGAGACAATTCTTTAATAAGTAAATAGAGCATAGCATGGGTTATTTGTCATTACAATTAAGTGTAGATGTATGAGGTTCATGTTACTTTCTGTGTTTGGAATATGCAGCTCAAGTTTATAAGAACTTCACTAGCTGCCAATCATAGTGACAAGCAAAATTTTGAACCACACCCGTTTTTAGTAAAACAACATGAAAATATAACTACATTCCATCATTGCATTTTCCCCCAACCTAAATTAAAAAATAATAATAACATGACGCTGGGCAATCTTGTGCACGCACCATTAGTAATGCTACTACAGAGTGTATGCTGAGGTTATATCTGTAGGCCACATTCACTTGAAATTGTCATGCTTTTTAAAAGATTTATAAAGATTTATAATCTATAATGATTTAAAAATTATATGCATGAATTTGACTAATTCCACATTGCAATGATAAGAAGTACTTCTCCAGTTTGCACTATTTGAAGTTTAAAATTATAGTTTTGAAAACATTGTCTTATGACAATATGTGGAAGATTTTAGTTTGCTTGTGTTTTTGTTCTACTTTTTCATATTTTTAAAACTTCGCCCATTTTTATGTTACCATCAGGAGTAGAAATTATGATAAATGGAAGGGTTCTTCATAATTTCTTTTAAAAATTAATTGTTTTTTGTCTTAATTTTTTTTCTTGTACACAGATGTTGTTTAACCTTTATAGGTCCCTGTTGGAACTGATGGGACCATTAGGCATCTCCTTCAACTCCTGGAAAGTTTTTCCCCATACTTGATCTTTTTTAATATATGTAATTGTATAATTTTGAAAAAAATGGATAACTGGTATGGTAAAAGCACAGTGCAGTCTCCAGCATTTATTTCTGTGAATGTCTGAATTCCACATGAGTGCTGTCAGCATTCTTACCTAACGCTTGCTTTGAAGCGTGTCCATCTGCCCGGAAAAAAAAAAGAAAAAAGAAAACATAGTAAAGCTGAGGTTGGTGAGGAACATATGCACTAGTACGAGTTCCAGTAAATAGTTGTTTGGGGGCTAGACTTGCCTATTGTGGCAGCTATTTTGTGAAGGAGCTAGCCCTCCCTCAATACCACCCATTGTGCCCATGAATTGCTCGAAAAATTCCAAATGTGTTGTGATCTCTGCTTTGTAGAGTACCCCAAAATAATTGTAGTCCTGTACATAATTATTTTAATAGGATTTCTCAGAAAAAGGCAGCCTTTAGGGTTAGGATTTGACCACCATTCTGAAACTCATTAAGCTACAGAATCGGCCAATAATTTGAGGATTGCTTTAACAGGCTTGCATAGATTGTGATCCATCAAGCTCAATGTAACTGACTAGCTTTGAATTATGGCTTGCCATGTGGTGACAGCTAGGTCCCTCATTTTTACACTTATAAGCAGGCAGCAAAACAGCAAGGTTTATTGAGCACCTGGTATGCTGCCAAGCTCAGCTCATGGAAAACATTTAACTAATGAGACATAAGATATGCAGACATGCTTTAAAAATAATAGACATTTGTGATGTCGGTGCAACTGTACCTTTGTATGGTGGTTAAGGAAATTCCTCTGAAGGCAAATACACTGGGAGCTGCTGTTACATTCTTATAGACCCCAGGGCCCATCAATATTTGCCTGAGCTCATAGCAGCAATTCCCATAAATTGGCTGTAAGTATTTTCATGACTATTTGTACTCCTGCTACTTGCTGGGGTGTAATCCTTAAGTGGAACTAAATCTCACTGAACATCACATTAAGTAGACATGCATAGAACTGCACTGTTAGTCTTTTACCTACTTACTGTAGCTTTAGCTAAGAGTAAGCTACCTTCAAGGTTCTTAATTAATCTTTTCCTTTTCTCTTAAATGTGGAAGTGGAAGGGAGTGCATTTATAAAACTAAAAGAAGCATATCAATGATTTCTCTTTTCCAGCCGCAGCAGCAACAGGTGACTTCCCAACAGTTGGCCTTCCAGCAGCAGCTTCTGCAGATGCAGCAACTGCAACAGCAACACCTCTTGTCTTTGCAACGTCAAGGTTTGCTGACAATTCAGCCGGGCCAGCCTGCTTTGCCACTGCAGCCTCTTGCTCAAGGTAAGGGTGGCTTTTGAGGGTTGCTGTCAGTAATGGGGACAAATCCATCTAACACTGGGAAGACAAATTGTGCCAGGAAATTACTTCTGGAGAATTGGTTTGCATTCCTTTTTTGCTAGCTGCCAATCTCCCAAACTGATATTCATGTCATGAGTCTATCAGATCCTTGTTAGGGTAGTCTGTACTTAGAACAGTGATCCTGGATACAAGAGAATAATCCAGCTCACACTTTTTAGCTAGATCAGCTTTCCTTGATACAAGAATGCAGGCAAAAAGTTTTGTGTAACAAGGTTTATAGATAAAGTGTTCCGTATAACTTGAAAAGCTTTGCAGTTTTAAGTCAAACAAAAATTCCCCAATAAAAAAGTTACACAGGTAGTCCTCCAGCTTGTTTCATTTTTGGATGTGATGAATGTAGTCCACTGCTGGGAGGTTGTCCACATGGCTCTGCTCCTCCATACAGGCCCTGGTGCTCCGTAGTTCTTCTGCAGACATTCTGATAAGGTTTTGCTAGCAATAATAGTAACATTCTCATATAAAACAAGAATAAATTATTCCAAGGGTGAAAAAAAGAACTTTCACAAAATATCAGTGAGTTAAATTGCTTGTCGTGACATATTTTTTACCATGTATTGCTCGCTTACTTTCTATAAGAACATTGCAGTTCTTAGACGCAAAAAGACCACAAATTCTGCCAGACTTGCTCCAGTATATTTAACAGCAACCTGATGTGCAGAAATTGGCAGTTGAAATTTTTCACAGCATAACATAAACATACTGCTTTCTAATGACTGCAGATCAATTTGTTGTTAAAGCCTGGGTCCAAAAGTTGACAATGCTATAGAGAGATGAGAGTCATGAACTGAACATATTGTGGTAATCACATTTTGAAAACATGCAGTAGCCACCATTTGAGTCCTCTTTACCTTACAAAGTTTGAATAATAATTCCCTGTTGCCTTAATCATGTCTTTGACAGAGGATAAGAAGTTTCGTATTTTCTTTCTACCTTTTAAAATAGTTACATCTGTATTTGCTATCCTTGAGACGCGAGTTGAGCAAAGGAATTCTTAAATGCTGCACCCCTCCTCTTCAGCTACTTTATCTTTTCCCCCACATCCTCAAATGCCTGTGAAATTTGAATAACCATCTCAGCATTTCCAGATAGCTCAGTTGATTGATTTTACCTACTGGTTGTGTTAATCTTCATAAAAAACATATTCTCTTGACCTTCTTCAGCTTTCTGCGGTCAGGTGTGCCAACAGTAAAGATTTTGGTAAACCCAGTCCTCAATTTATGGTGAGCAAAATAGGGGATGCTTAATGAAATCCATCTCCTGATAAAAATTTTTAGCCTGCTTTGTGTAGCTCTGCTAAAAAAAAAAAAAAAAAGATAACAAAACCAAAAACAAGTCCTTTTTGCCTCCTCCCCAGTAATTTAACTATAGGGATAAATGTTCTTATTTCCATCTAATCTTGAATTTACGGATTAAACTTTACACATTCCAAAGTGATTAATCCATTATAGACTTGACCACTAGGATTGTAATCTGAAGCAAGGGGAAGTGAGAGCAATCCTCATGCTCGAGTGTTTCATCTATTGATTTTTCCCCTGAAATATTTCATTGCTAATCATGGGTATGCATCCACTACATTTATTGCATTTTTCCTGCAGCAAGGCAAGGAAGGAAGCTAAAGACTTGTTTTTGGTTCCATTCAGTGGGAACCAAACATTCAGTGGGTCAAAGTTGGATAGCTTCAAATGTTTCCTGTTCATGGTAGAAGATGGTCAAGTGGAAAATTTACTTGATGTAAAGTGTAATATTGCCACTGTAGAAGCTTAAAAAGAAATAAAATTTGAGAGGAAAATTAAAGGAAATAGTATAAAGGCTGATTTGATTCATGTAAAATATTATAGCATAAGTTAATTATACCTTCAGATGTAATTGAGAGATCTCACAAGCTATTTTTACCTATCATCTCACTAGACTCTGGACTCATGTCTTTCTAATTCTTTTTTTACAAACAGTTCCTCTATTATTAAGTTTCCTTGGCAAGCTTCATAGCATAATATATCACTTAAGCTGTCCAAAAGAGGGCAATTGGGCAGTGACAAGATACACTCACATGTAATGTGAAAGAAATGAATGTGGTGATGCATGAAGTGTAATTTGTGCAGCAACACATCAGAGACACTAGTAGGTAATTCAGCAGTTGTGGCATTGATTGATGAATAGGCTTCACTGTCTAGTGTAACTATTAGTTCTTGCAACTTAGGAGGGGGAGATATTTAAAAAGGAATAAGCACAAGTGATAAGGCAAATATTAACAAAAGGAAGTTTAATTGCTCAGTTTCTGGTATTAGTTATTTTTTCCGTTCATCTTCTGTTATGATCCTAGAGCTTTATTGGGTTTGGGAAGAAGAGAGAAAAGATAATTTGAGAATTTAGACAGGACAGAATACAACACAGTTTCTTTATCGGAGAAATCTGATGGCTTTAAACTGATGTCATTATGAGGTTTAAATCAACTTTCTGCTTGCTTGAACATGGTCACCTGGGTATGGATGTACAAGGACAAAAAAAGGTTGAGCAACTTTAGTTGTCTTAGAGCTGGCAAATACCTGGGGTTGTGAAATCAAGTTCCATGGAGGGTAATCTGTCAGCTGTCCCCACAACATACATTTTTTAAGCCTGTACCTGCATTTTCTTTTATAATGAAGAAAATACTTCTCCTAGGAAAAAGTGACATAGCAAAGAAAAATGTGAAAGCTCCAGTCTGTAATAATTGGCAATGAATAGTTACATTATAGGCACCCTTTTTGTAACTGACAACAAAAGTACATCACACACACACACACACACGAGAAATAAACATAGCTTATATGCATTCTGTGAAAACAGATGCAACCTCACTGTATTCTTTTTAGGACAAATAATAGTGATAATGATTAAAAACAGCCACAATTATTACTATATGGGGCAATAGTTTTAAAATTACTCACTGTAACATTAAAAAAAAAATCTTGTCAGTTCTCTTGCATAAAATAGCATATGCCTCATTATAATTTTCATGCGTTTCCACTAAAACCAATAATCTAGACATTCACTCTGTACCCAGAAGCCATAATAAAACAAACTTAATCTCAAAAGCATTCCAGACAACTAGATTTCTTCTCCAGAAGAAGAGTAAAAAAAATCAAATGTGTGAAAGTTTTGTATTCCTAATTGGAGGAAGCCTCCTCCTGCAGCCTCCTGCCTGAGCCTCCTGGTATAGCAACATCCGAGAAGAATCAATTTTCCCATTCCTAGATGAAAATTTTCCTAGAATCAATTTTCCCATTCCTAGTTGAAAATCTGCCATTAACAGTTCTCTAACTTTTGTCCAAACACTTTTAAGTTTACTAAATAGTCTACTTGAAGATGTGCAAAACATTCTGTGGATGGACTGTTCCATGCAGTGGTCTGTGCTAAGATTGAAACACATCTGGAAGATGGATGCTTGGTCTAGGCATGGATGGCACAGGTAGGGTAGGAGACAGCAAGGAAAAGGCAAGGCAAATGGAATTGTGCAGCAGGGAAGAGGAAGGAAGGTGCTGGGACAATTGGGGGAAGGGATTGATGAACAGAGTAGCTTGGATTATACCAGACTTGAATTCAAGCACAGCAGCTGCAGTGAAGGCAAGTGAAAAGAAAGGAAAGAAAAATGTAGGGATGACTGGTGGGAGGGCTGGTACCCAGGCCATGAGGAGTAGGAAGGGGGAGAGGGAAAGACACACCAGCCTTATCCTACTTGACCTGAAATTTGTCTTGGTCAAAACACTTGTTAGCCAAATGAGTCCAGCTTTTGGTTCAGCCAGACCACAACTTGCCCTGAACTGGTTGAGCTGGACTGAGCCATAATGTGTTTCTTCTGTGTGTGGAACAAAATAGATTTTCTATTTGTGCACATATCTGTGCTTTAAAAAAGTACATGATTACAGATTACCCTTTCTATTCTTGAGTTTTGTTCTAGCATAATGAAACTGCAAATAATGAGATCTTGAGTTTATGGAAATTAAGGGGGGTTAGGTTTCAAAACATATGGTTATCCTCTTCCTGTCCTCACATACAGACTGTCTGCATGATATATTTGATCATCCTTCTCCTCACTAATTTTGACAAATTTTGCAGTGTCAGCATAGTCACAGGACTTCAGTGGCTTTCTAGCCTTCAAAGTGACTGTCTTAATTGGTGACGGAAGGAAGCAATCTGTGCTGGCTTCTCTGCTTTCTGTGGCTCTTTCATGACCTTGGTGGAGAGGTCTCTTAATAATGCCACTGATGCTTGTGCCTCCTAAAGACCACTTGTAGCTAGTTCTGATGATCATGCGGATAGTCCCATGACTCGTTAGGATAGTCCTCTTTTTTCCATAGCCTCAAACAATGGGCTGATTTTCACCATTCCCCTGCTCAAAGGAGCGCTGCCAGCCATGATTGCCAGTGTTCTGGTCAAAGGCTTCAGAGACACATGGTCATTGGAGCAAATTGCAAGCAGTGGCAGCAGTAAAATCCAGCAATATGACTAAGAGGCCCCTCTATCAAGATTAAGAAGAACTGTGTGGAGCAGAAAAGCCAGCATGAACCATGTGGTCTGTGTAAGCAGCTCCTTCCATCACCACTGACTTGCTCTAAAGAAGAAGGCATTCAGCTTCTGCAAGGAAGCCATATGGAGCTTTACAACCAGATTAATTCAGTGAGATCCAGTCTGAGTTGGTGAGAAGGAGGACAAATACGTTGTGCAAAGAATCTAATCCTTAAAAAAACTTTTTGCATGCACAAAAGCCTGTCTACTATTTTGTGAATGTATAAAATAACAATAAAAAAGGGCCCAAACCATAAGTACATGAACACCTTTATATATATATATAGAGGTCTTGAGTCTATTTAGGGTAGACAAAATTGTGGATAACAAAACTGATAAGCCACAGGTGCTTCTAAAAGCTCACATAATTATTGGGATACTTAATTTTACTCTATGACATCATAATTGGATTCCGTTGCTTAAAGCCATCTAATCTATAATCCTCTGCCTGTGAATTGTTCCAGCTGTCGCTATATTGTTTTTTTGTGTACAAATGTGGGTTTTGCTTATGTTGTGCGAAGATGCCCTCATAAATGTCAGTCAATTGCTCTTCTATAGAAGGTTTGCTGTAGGGATTGTAACATGTTATTTCACCTCTTTTGCCCTTGATATACTGAGATACTTTATGCCATCTTCTAAATGAACAAAAATCAAGCAGCTTTATAGTATTATCTATCTTTAAAAATAAAAAAGCTATGTGCGTGAGATTTCACGGTGATGAATAATAATGGTAAATATATTTTTCTCACATTGGTAGAACCCCAAAATGTAAAATTGACTCAACGCAATCTAGTATCTACTATCCCATCAACAGACAGGTCCATTCACTATTGTTTCAACTGAGTAAACAGTGGTGAAAGGGTCGGTCATATTCACAGTAATTGTTAGTGTGGAGACAGTCCTGTCAAGCGTGTTAGCTAAAAATATACGCTACTCTGTCACTTTGCAAGGGGTTTGAAAATAATAGCTCAGTTGCTGTTAAACAGGACATAAGATTACACTGTGACCTTTCTCTTTGTTTAAATTTCTTCAGAGCTTTAATTTTGGAGGACAGGTTATAACTGAATAATAGTGAATTCCTCATATGAGGCAAACTTCTTCAAAGTATATTTGGCATTTATTTTTATAGAAGAGGAAATAAATGGCTTTATAGCAGTAGATGTATCTTAAGACTCAGACCACTTAATGTTGAAGTATCTTGTAGAATATATACTAATTACAAACATTTTTGCTTTTTTTTTTTTTTTTTAGTCAGCCCCATAGCAAAGACCAAATGTTTTTGTTAATGCCATTCTGAGTAAGGCGGGGAAGATTATTGGTCTGTCGTGCAATAATTTACTCCTCTTTGATATGCAAACGATCCACGGTGAATATAAAAAAAAATCCTATCAGACTCATTTCACAGTTCTTAACCACTTAGATTCTCTGGAGTCTATCGCCTCATTAGACCACTGCTCTCCAAAGCTAGCATAATTAAAATCTTTAACAGTTTAGCAAAGTAAAGATGTTTGGCTGATCACGTTAAGATGATTATCTAGCCATTGTATTCTAAATGACAAAAATAAATTAAATTTAGACCTTGGCATTTTTTATTATGTGTTTCAAATGAATCTAATGCATACTGCCTTTATTTAATGCCTTAGGTCTGGTAAGAGACATGTATGTGTTTCAGTTACAGATGTATATTTTGAAAATGGCAGGCTGCCCCCACACCCTTGCACTGATTAAAAAAAAAAAAAATACAGTCCCTTGAAACAAAGAAGCTGGATTTCTTGGCCCTGGTCTTTAGTCTTCAGAAGAGAATTACTTTGAAGAAAACACAGATTCTACATGGCTTTAATACAAATTTCTGCTTATATTACTATTTCATGCCAGTCTACAGCAGTATGACAAACTACCTTCAAATGTTTGTTTGCAAACATTTATATCATGTTAAATTAACCTAGAATCTCATAAAAATGGGATTAATATGTGTCATTCTAAGTTTTGTATAACTAAACTTTAGCTTGTTGAAATGTTTTAAAATTCTCAGTTTAGTTAAGAATCTAGGTATCTCCTGAATTTCGCTATCTATTTAACTTAAGGAACACATTTCTCATGAAAATGTATTTTCTGTTTTATTTTACTTTCAATGGCTCATTAGCACTGATCAAGAAATGACAGTAATAACAATAGTGTAAGTTGTATAGGAACTTGCAAGATTTTTTACATAAGGCACATCTATTAATTAAGCAAGCAGTGCTAAAAACCAAAATTAATGAGAAAGATAGGTGTGTTAATGACATAATCACAGTATAATCAATTTGACTTAAAATTTTAAAAAGCATTTCACGAAGACAATATGAATTCATAATTTATGTCTAAAAGTGATTAATAAAACTATATTTAATAACAAAGCTATTTGTCATCATGTACAATTCAAGCAAAAATTAGTCTCATTGTGCTTATGTTGTCATAAAAACAGAGATACATTTACTTGGAAGACTTTCCTTGCTTCAAAAGAGAAGTTAACATTTTCTGTCGTCTTTCAACAAATGAAACACCATTTATTCAGATTCTCTATTTCAGCATCCGTATATATTCCACAATATAAATTGTGAAAGATATCCCTCAGTTGGACCTCTACTTTCTATGGTGACCAAGAAGGCATCTCTATCACTATGAAAAAATTATATTTCAGATCCTTTTTTCAGCATACTTTTCTTCAGGAATAATTTCAAGTTAAATATTTATCTTTAGTGCTAAAATGCTCAACATGAAATCTGTGAAATCTTATTAATGAATTAAGATCCAAATAGCACTGATGATGAATAATGGAGCTTATGAACCTATACATTAAGTTGTGTCATACTAAAGCTGACCAATGATTCATCTAGCCCCATAATACTCTTCTCTGAGGACAGGTTTTCTGAATCTTATTTCTGAATCCCATTTATGTCACTGATATTGGAAATGTATATCATAATTTCTCATCAACTATTATGGAATTCTACCCCATCTTGATTTATTTTCCAACATAGGTGGTAGTTTCAAGCCACAATGTCAAAATGACCCATGTGTCATGATGTCATTGAACAAATGGCATGATTATATAATTTGTGTGTCAGTCATATCTTGACATCTGACACAAGTACATCAGCCACATTATTTGCATGATGATATCATGATGCATGCGTCATCATTTGCCCCTTTTGGGCACCCATGTTTTCCAGCTTGAGCACATGCAAGTTGCTGAAATGGAAAGTGCTTCTCTGTACACCCAAAGAAGCTATGTAATTATTCTCCCTGTATCTGCTGAGTCACAAATAGAAAAGCTTAGCTGTTTGCTGTTCTGATGGAACAACCTGTCAAAAGATCATACCATGTATCTTTATGCTGCAAGTGCTCGACCCAAGTTTCCATGAATGTAAAAAGGGCAAAGAAATCGATGGCATGCCTGACACTGGCATCAGCCTTCCTGGTGTAGCTTCTGGGCTTCATGGCCCGCTCGCAGTGATGCATGTTCTAAGTGCTTTTTGTCAGTAGTTTCCACAATGCTCTTGCATAACTCTTTGTTAGGTGGCTCTGGGCATTTGATAAAGAACTCAGTCCTGAATCCAGCCCTGGCCATTGAGGACCCTGAATGTATATCCTAGTAGTCACAAACATTTACCATGAGAGATGAAGAAGAAGAAGAAAAAAAAAATAATACATCTTTCTGCCAAATATCTATTCTTTTATATTTTTAGTTTCACACCTTCAGATTATCTCTGAACACATGAGGATTAGGAAATTATTTTTTCCAGACAGAATAAGCATAAAGCTTTTGTTTTCAATGTTCATAGCCACAGAAGAAGAAAAGATCTGTGTTACCAGTTTAACCCTACAATTTACAATTTACAACCCTACAATTTACAGTGCAGTCTAGCAAAAACCTCCATGGACCAGCCTGCTTGTGTAAAGTGTTTTCTGGTACCATTATTGTTATAGCTGTGTTTACTAGTATAGATGTGTTCAATCTTAATTTTTTTTTTAAAAAAAGAAAAGCCTCCCATGTTAGATTTTGTTTACCAACATTGATATGAATTACCTTTGGAGGTATATTAATTAATGATTAAAATTAGTAGTAATTAGTAAATTACTAATTAGTAAATGTTAACTAGTGAGTTTTATTTTAGGCATGATTCCAACTGAACTGCAGCAACTCTGGAAAGAAGTGACAGGATCTCACACAGCAGAGGAAGCAGCCAGCAACAACCATAGCAGCCTGGACCTGTCAACCACGTGTATCTCCTCCTCAGCCTCTTCAAAGCCCTCCTTAATAATAAACCCACATGCCTCAACCAATGGACAATTGCCAGTCCACACTCCTAAAAGGGAGAGGTAAGCATGAAGAGAATTTCTCCTTATCAGTGCCTATAACATTACATTTCTGTTTGTGGGTCCCAGGTACTGTTTGCATTAATGCAGTATTTTTATTTTACTGCAGTTCTAACTTTACACACACACACATATAATACACATGCATACATTGTGTTAGAGCTGAGGTGCACTTCAGATATGAATGTGCTTTGGAGCACACAATTACGTGCACATAGCACTCATCTGCAACTCCAGAGTAATTCATCTTTTTTAAGTTCACATGAAGGGTAGCTGCGTAATCCCAGGATGCTAAGGGTTAATGTTTCTAGTGTTAAATTAAGGTAACTCTTGACATTCTGACACTCATGGGAATAATGGCTAATTGCCAACAGTTCTTTGTAAAAAGTCGTTTACCTCTTTTGTGCGTGAGGTTTGGTTCATAAAATGCTTGTTTGTTGTCTTCATCCACACAAGCTGCTGTGGTTTATGAACATGTCTGCATATTCATCAGTAACGTAATGGACAGTGTGAGCTGATGATAAATATGTGCATATAGGCTGCAAATGGAAGAGATCTAGATCATCATGGGTTATTGTCACTACCTGTGTGCTCCTGTATGCATATCAATGGCTTTCAGTTGACCTCTCCATTAGGGGAAGCAGAATTGAAATGGAAATCCTCAAGTCAATCAAAATACTGATTTCCTTACAGGTCAGAACTGCAAAAAAATGGGTTTAGAAATCCTAGCTTATTTGGGAGTAAAAGGCTATATCACCCAGTTTTCAATCACGGGTTTATTAAGCCACTCCTACTGATGGAAGGAACAAGTAGGAGCAACCAAGCAGTAAGAACCAGCTCACACATATTAAACAGTAGGACAGGAACATCCAGAATCCTAGTTTACTGCAAACATGATCATCCATTTAGCTTTATTACAGGGTGTTTAACTGGAAGATAATTAAATATGCCAGGCTTTGGGTAATGTAGTTGAACCTTTTTTTCTGAACTTTCTGTTTCCCCAGAGAAAATGAATAATTTGAAACTGTATTTGGCTTCCTATATTTTGTCTGTAATAATTGTATTTTCATCCATGTTTGTCAGTTTATGCTCTGATGTAACAAACTGATCTGAACAGTTTAGGCATTTAACATTTGGCCCTAAAGCATATGTTTCTGAATTCTCAGATACGAAATATATGTTTTCCAATAAATACTGAGCACTTTCTCGATATTCCATAACAAATTAAATAGAAGTTTTATTTAATGTTGATATTTGCTGACAAAAGGCTCTTTGATCTTGTAATGCCATGCCATCTCCCATGGCACAGGCTGCTGAAGGGAGACTCAATTGGCAAAAATTGCTTCCTGCCCAATTTTACTGATGGAAACTCCTGCTGGATCCAGGAACTTCCATCCAGCAGTGGGAAACATGGAATGTAATATATCAACATGGAATGTAATATATATCAAAAACCATTGATATAGTTACTTACTTTTGGAATCTGTTACGTGAATTTACCTTCCATTTTTTCTACTGTGTTTTTCTGATTGCAGCTATTTATGTCTTATGAGAGAGTATTGCAATAGTATTTTGGGACTGTTATATCTGTTGAAAGGGAGGGTTAGGGCAGATTTACAAAGGGTGACTTGTGGAAGCTCTGCTTTTTTAGAGGTTCCTCAAGTCCTACATTCAAGTCTTACATTCTTGAGCCCTTGGAAGCAAGGACATTATTTTTTAGGACTGGGTCTTGTAGTATAACATAAATCCTGGATTGTATTCTGCCCTGGCCATGAATTCTTTTTTCTCCATCTCACCCAAGTCTTCTGTAAAGGTGTCTCCTGAAGTACATTTGGGTTGAATGCGAGGGTGGAGAAAGAAGGCAAATGAAGAGACTCTCACCAAATGAGTGGAAATGGCTTGCAAAATCCTGGTAATAGTTTTCAGGGTTTGGTGAAGAGACAATACTACATGTCAATAATGAGGATGCTGTTTTCTATGAAACCATATGGAATAATCTTTGAAAGCAAATTAACTGGGTCTGCCTTCCCTTGTTGATTTGTAGGTTTTTATTGAGGTTTTTATTGTTAGTTTTACGAAAGCTTTTTTTGACCAAACTTCTCATAGTCTAATAATAATATTTCTAAGGCAGACATAAAGCACAGATTGTGCTCTTCTTACATGAAGAAAACAAAGTTGTTTTCCTAAGTATACTGCATGCTTAAGAACACTTAAAATTGAGATGTTGACATACAACATGTATGTTACTTAAGCAGGAGGACTATTCTGGTTTTGGAGATGTGGATTTGTATTCGACTGATAAGTGAAATACATTTTCTGTGCCCCCAGAAAGTGTCTTTGTCTGGAAGATGAGAGGTACTAGCTTGGCTTCTTCTAGCCTAAAGCAAAAAAAGGAGGAAGAATCACAAATTCTTTTGCATATATTTTGTATGCTGAATCTAAGAGTAAAAATCTCACACTGGAGTTGATTCTTGTATGTATTCTTCTTATTAATGGGCAGGTTATTTCATAAATTGGATAGCATTGGGCTGCATTATTTTATTTATGTATATTTGTCTATGTTTTTGGGCCCATCCCCTGTTTTCTTCCATGGCTCATATAAATAAATACACATGCGTGCATGCATGCATACTTACATACATACATACACAATAGCTACTCGCCTGTAAGAGCAGTCATTCTAACAGAACAGGTAGGAACAGAATGTTGAGTTTTGTGGATATATATGAGTCAAACAGTATTTCTCAAGAATTTTTGTTTTATGAAGATGGTGTGCTTTGAGCCATGAAGACATGACTGGTCAACAAATTGGCATGATGTGTAATTTCCATTAGAACATATGTACAAAGACATATAACCTGAGCTTTTCATAGAGCGTTGCAATTATGTTTGTGCTTCTTCCTAGTATTTAACATTTGCATACCTTTATTAATATTCTTTGCGGAATCTTGTTACTTTGGTCATATAAATTAATCTGCATTTTGCAAAGATTAGTTTGCCTCAAATTGGTGGGCAGAGGATATTGGTATCAGACATGGAAGAAAACACTTTCCTTCATTCCTAATTTTGGGCCTCCCTATTTCAACATGGCTCCGTGTATCAAGAGGAGAGGTAGCTTGTTGGTGGGCACACTTTGAGAAGATCACAATAAGAGCTGCCAGCTAAGAGGGGAGAGGAGCAGATAGTTGTAGACTTGTTTTCCCTTTGCTCCTATAGTCTAGGCAGTACAGAGTCGGACTATGAAGATGAAGCATGATCCAGAGTATAAAATTTGCAGGGTTAGCTTTTAGCAGTATTTTAGCTCAGTAGTTCAGTCCAGATTTTTACGTTTGCAGAAGAACCTTGTAAATACAGTACGTATTCTTATAGGATTGCAATGCAATAATGGATGGCACTTTCGATTTACTTCTAGTGAATTCTTCATATACTCTGATCATAACTTTACTGCTATTTTGTGGGATTTAGTCAACCCATTATGCTTTCTGTTTAGAATCTAGCAGTTTTTATTCTGAAACTGAAAAAAAAACATTGTTGCTTACATTTTGCCTTCCAAAATTCTGATTTCTTTTAAAATAGATCTATAACCAATGTCCAGTTGCAGCTTATATTACCTTATAATAAAATAAAAATATAAATATAATGTTTTAAATTTGCTTAACAAGGAAGCCAGAAAACAAACTGTGGTAAAACTCACATTCACTTAAAAACCTTCACTTGCAATGAAATTCATAAATATGCACTGTATCATTGAAGATACTATTTAGTAGAATGATTTTTTAAAATCTTTTTCAAATCCACCATTTTATAAAAATACAAGTAGATATGTTCTATGGATTATTTCCCTTTTCCTTTGGTGTACTTGAAGTTGGCACCATCCGTTTACAGCAGTGTGATTAAATTACCTCTTTGTCCATAAGTTGAGCAGGCAAGTATACACTGAGAATGCCGATGAAGGCACTTAAGGTTTCTGTTGCTATCTTGTCAGGCAGTGTGGTGCCTGCCTACATGCTGTATGACATATAAGCCTCTGTTTAGATTTTTTGGGGAGACTGGAAGAATACTTGCTTATTCCTAAATATTCATGACAGAATAAGATTACTAAAAAGAATAAACTGTAGGGTATCAAGTGCCTTTATATTTGACATGAGTTGTGGAATAATTCCGTAGATCAGCAAGCTGGCCACTATTATGATTTATATTGGCTAGTTTGAGATGCAGGATGGAACAAACTAATATTTAGATTATTTTAACAGAATGGGAAGTTTCTCCTAAAAAGTGGCTGAGAAACATTTCAGTTTTCTAAATGTCAGAAGCACATTTTTGTAGTCTTTTTGGAGTATCTAAGAACAGATACTTTGAGAGGGAGACTAGCGTGGATTTTTTTCTAAGTTTCTTTTGTTTCCTTGAATCTTAAATCAATAAATTTAAATCTACTAAAAGCTGAGAGTATAACTCCTAGAGGTTCTTAGAAATCAAGTATTTCCTTCTTGTCCTCCTCTAATCCCAAGTCGCTAGCCCAGTTTCAGGATGGAGAAAAACATTTTAGTCTTCAGTGTCTCATAAGCCTTTTGGGTATTGAATTCCTTGATCTCAGATAGAATTAAAAATGGGGTTTCTGCTGATATGCTGTCTGTAGGTATTAGGCCCCAGGTAGAAGGCCTTCTAAAGTATTGGACATACCAAACCAATGCTCTTTATTCTCTTGGCAGTAATATTATGATTTAAAGAGACATTGGCTGGGAGATAATAATAATAATCCACTTGAACACTATCGGGATTGACAAAATCATCATCAGTCAATTGCAAAAGGCAGCTTTACTTCGAACAGCTTACATCCTGCAACGATGCCTTTAACACCATCAGACAACAACATCTGCCTATCCCAGGTCCTTGGGAAGGATTCCATAGGTGGATAAAAATGCCAAATCCAGTCTAAAATCTGGCTGATTGTGTGACCAATAATAATTTTGCTTTTTATATTTTTAATGCATTTATTGACTGTT